TAGATAAATGAAAATTTCACCGAATATTTATATTAGCATTTACTATACACCATACAATTTTGAAAATATTTTGACTCTTTTTGAGCTGTTTACGGATATTTTCATTTTTCAATTTTTTTAGTTTTTTTTTCTATGAATATCAATAACGTTTTATCTGTTGGGCCAAAAAGTGTAAAAATTTAATACAAGGCTCCTGATATATTGTTACAATATCAGTTGAAAAATATAAAAAATACATGGACACAATTTTTTTTTATAAGCATTTAAACATCGAATTTTGACAGAATTTTTCAAAATCTCGAAAATTATTAATCATCGTAATTAATAAATTATAAAATGTTCAGTTTTTATAGCTAAGGATTGAAAAATTAAAACAAGATTCCACGTAAGTAGTTAATTCTCTTACCGAAAAATCTAAAATATATACAATCACAGTTTATTTTTATAGTCATTTTGTGTTCAAATTTGGACGAAATTACATACTTATTAAAAAACCTAGTTATTTTGTCGTGATTATATAATATTATTCGTGGGTACCTACTTGAAACTTCTAATGTGTACTATTATATATCTATGATAGTATCAGGGTTTGTTATTGATGTTGATGTACAACGTGTTATAAGTACCTAATGGATATTGTGATAATGTGATTTGGTTAATTTGGAATTTATTATATTTCAATTTTTTTTTTAATACCATAGATATGTATATAATTTGTCTTAAACCTAGACTGACATACCGTCTTCGCTCAGAATCGTTTTTCTTATACAATGATATTTTATCATTGAATTCAAATTTAATAGCATCCATTATACAGTGACCCACTTGTAACCTACTGTACAGCAGAGCGACATCCACTTACCCACCTTTTTATAATTTATTATTGAGTAAAATTAAATAAATAAATACTATAGGTACTAATGTCTTGTACACAATATTAAATGTTATTTAACAAGGAAAACATGCATTGTCATTTGTCATATTTATTTATATGAGACAGGGTCCCGGGGCCCCCACAATATATTCCGCACATTAGAAAAAGTGGTATTGGCCAGGCTCTAATTAATACCCTATACGGAAATACCAGAGATGGCAAATCCATGGCACGCGTGCCCGAGGTGGCACGCAAAAAGATTTTGAGGGCAAACGAAAAGTTAAAATATTTTTAAATAATATATATATTTATTATAAATATATTTTTTTTTATTTGACAGCGGACGTTACTTATTCTCTTAATACTCTATTTCATAAATAGCTAACAAGTAATGTTATTATAATATTATGTACATAAACTAACTTTTTTTTATATTAATGCATTAATTATACAATAAAATTGTAATAATTTTTTTTTTACAATATTAAATATAATATAGATATATATACAAATATTTTTCATGGCACCCTGGAAAAAAAAGGTAAATTTTGGCACGTATTGGTCTAATAATTCGCTACCCCTGCCCTATACAACCTAGATGTTTTATTGATTTCATGCAGAATACGCATTGGCGTAAATAGTGTTTGAAATTTGGGGGGGCTGAAGCTCAGTCTATACTTGAAACTCTTATGATGCTTTTAAATTATAGTAGTGAAATCATTAGTTTTTGGGGGGGGCTATAGAAACTTCAAGGGGGGCTAAAGCCCCCTAGCCCCCCTCCTATTTGCGCCTATGAGAATACGTATAGGTTAAGTGTAAGGTTATATTCAAACTATTAATGATTATGCCTAATTATTACGGTATCAAAAACGTATCTTTACGAGCAAATAATATTCTGATAACATATTTTTCCAACTGAATAATTTTCAATGGATTATTTTTCCAACAAAATACGTTTCCAGAAAAATATTTTCCGACATTTTCCATACCAAGCTGAAAAATTTCCGTTCAAATACTATTCCGTTATTATCTTTTTCCCTTCAAATAATTTTCCAATGAAATCCGATTCAAAAAAAATATTTTCCGATTATTTAATTTCCAAACATATCCGATTCCAAAAAAATATTTTCCGATTATTTAATTTCCAAACATATACATTTCCAAACAAATACTATTCCGAGCATATATTGTTCCAACTAAAAAATTTCCGATAAAATATTTTTCCAACTAAATACGGTTCCAAATTAATATGTGTCCGGGAAAAACATTCCGAAAATATACGTTCCAACAAAATATTTTCCAACAAAATATAGCCCTCCTTTTTTTCATCAATTCCACAATGTATATGTTCCGCGGCGTTGGATGTTTGTGCTGGCACCGCCCATTTTTCCCCTTCCACTCGTCGGTTGAAATCACTCGTTGCGTAATCCGTCGTCACGGCGCTGCGTTGAACTATCTGGCCGTCTGAATTTCCCTCTCCATGCAACGGGTTTACGTCTTTTGTGTATGAGTGTTTAATTTTATTAAAGAAATTTTATCATCTAAAAATAAGCAACCTATAAGACATTTTGTTTCAGGTGTTGGAGGTACTGGTAAATAATTTTTAATAAAGACGATTAAAACTTATATTAATACAGTTGTAAAAAAAAATGTCGCAATTACTGCCCCGACTGGAATATCAGCTTATAATATTGAGGGAATGACGATACATCGTCTGCTACAATTACCAGTTGAACATGGCAATACTCCATCGTATCGACCACTATCTAATAATGTTTTAAAAATAATTCGTCATACCATGGAAAACGTTGTGTTGCTTATTATTGACGAAATAAGTATGGTTTCAAACAAAACGCTTTCCTATATACATCTTCGATTATGTGAGATATTTGACACAAGTGATAGCGATAACGGTTGGTTCGGACGTATAAATATCTTAGTTCTAGGTGATTTATTGCAACTTCCACCTGTAAATGAAGCATCTCCGTTTATAACATTGAATTCTACGCAGAGCAAAAAATACTTGAATTCCCTAGGAACAGTTAACTTATGGGCTACTTTATTTACTTATGACGAACTAACTCAAAATATGAGGCAAAAAAATGACCCAACATATGCAAACATTTTAGGGAGAGTAAGAGTTAATGCAGTGACTTTAACTGATATTGATAAAATAATGTTACGAAAAATCGCATTTAAATCGAAAACAAAAAAAGATATGATTACACAATTAAATGATTTATTTACCGACATACCGACAAGTCTAAAGTGACATTGAAATCTATGTTTGAAATAATTTCAGAACTAGTTCTGATAGATAATATTCTGTGTGAAAATTGTCATACATATTACCCTCATACACAAACATCACACATATTAAATGGCAACAAATATATATTTTTACAAATATAGCTATGGTCAAATTCAACCACAAAAATCACCGACTTAGTCATGAATGGATTACCAAATGAAAAAATAAATATTGATGGCAGCATGTATAAACTACACTCGGTGATTTGCCACCATGGTAATTCAATGGCATCAGCTCATTATACATGCATTATCCGATTTCATAATAAATGGGTTAGATGCAATGATTCTAATATTTATTACGACCGGTGGCCACGTGGTGCTAAAGACGTATATATAATCATTCTCCAGCAATAATTAAAACTTAAATTATATAATAATATACCTCCCCTCCCCCAAACAAATACATTTCATCACCGCTTGAAAAGAATTACATATATCTAAAATTGTAATTAAAAAAATTAGTGATATCTCATCAAAAACACTCCGTGTAAAAACATCGCTAAGTAAAAATAAGCACTTAAATTACAAAAGTTGTGATATCAAAAATTGGCTAAGTAATTTCATAAATTCATTAATATAAAAGTATTTATAACTGTTTGTATTTATTGTACCTTGTGAATTTATTCAGTGCAAATAATTGTACTTAGCTTGGCGGCTACTAGAAAAATGTATTTAAATATTTGTATTGTTCTATAGTTTAACTATAGTAAAAATATGCAAAATGATGCGGATATTTATGTAGAAATCGAGACATTTGGGTTCTTAGTTATAGAGACATAAATAATAGTAACTGCGCCAAGCTAAGTACAATTATTTGCACTGAATAAATTCACAAGGTACAATAAATACAAACAGTTATAAATAATTTTATATTAATGAATTTATGAAATTACTTAGCCAATTTTTGATATCACAACTTTTGTAATTTAAGTGCTTATTTTTACTTAGCGATGTTTTTACACGGAGTGTTTTTGAAGAGATATATTTATCTAGGAGAGTGACAATCTTATTCGAGATCCTGGTGAAAAGAGTACAAATGCTTTAATTTTATTTTCAAGTGGGTTTGGACCATATCAACCAAATAACATTATATTTCCACAGCATTCAGGAAGAAAATTTCGTCCAGAGTGGTATTCTTCTTTTCCTTGGATAGAATATAGTCCTAGCAGTAACTCAGCATTCTGTTTTTAAGTGCTTTTCCATCCAACACATCAGATCCAACTTTTGTTAGTGTTGGATTCAAGCAATGGTCAAAAGCTAGTTATAAGTCTTTTCCTCAACATGAAAAATCATTTGGACACAAAGAAGCTAGTGCAAAATTAGCTGTTTATAAAAGTGCAAGAAATCTGGGAGTATAATTAGTAAAGTTAATACACACCATCAGCAAATAGTAGCTGATAATCGAGCCTATTTAAAATTTTAGACAGTTTACTTTTTTGTGCTCGTCAAGGCATCGCTGTCGGAGGCCATAGAGAAGACGAAGACTCTTCAAACAAAGGAAATTTTCTAGAACTATGAACACTTCGTGCTAACGATAAGGATATTATCCAATGATATTTTATTGAAAAAGAAAAGACGTTTCGTTGTGTCAGTGGCGATTACACAAATAAATTTCTTGAGTATTTAGCTAATATTGTTATTAAAAATATGATTGATAATGTAATAACTGCAGGTATTTTCAGTATAATAGTTGACGAAACTCAAGATTTGTCTCGACATGAACAAGTTGCAATTATTATAAGATATGCAACAAAAGATTTGTCTCCAGCAGAAGTTTTTCTCGGTTTTTATAAAACAGAAACTACAGATGGAGAAACGCTTTCAATGTTAATAAAATCAACTCTTGTATCTCATGGTTTAAAATTAGAAAACATAAGAGGACAGTGTTACGACGGTGCATCGTCAATGAGAGTTTCGTATAAAGGAGTACAAGCAAGAATTAGAGAAGAAAATCATTTAGCAATGTACATTCACTGCAATGCACATATTTTAAATTTATGCCTTATAGATTTGGCTAAACAAGTATCTTATGTAAGAAACGTATTTGGAACATTAAATACATTACATAATTTTATTGGTGCATCATCCAAGAGGCATGCAATTTTTGAAAAAATGTTTTCAGTTTTAAATGTACGTACATGCGATGGACCTAAAAATTTAAAAAGCCTGAGTGATACTAGGTGGAGTTGCCTCAAGGCGGTTTTACTCAATTTTCAAATTGTGGTTAGTACTTTAGAAGATATTTAGGAAAATTATGCTGTTTATGGATCTGATGCTAATGCATTACTAAAGTCAATAAATACTTTTGAATTTTTATTTTGTATATACTTTCTTAAAAAAATAATGTTGTTAACTAATGTTTTGTCAAAGTATTTACAATCAAGTTCAATAATTTATAGTAATGTACAGTCAATGGCAAAAGAAACAATACAAGAATTATGCAATATGCGGTGTGAAGAAAGTTTTAACAACACTTGGAATGAAGTAGACATTTTAAGAAAACAATATAATGTTTCTTCTCCTTTTCTTCCCAGAAAGCAAGGAATACCAGCTAAACTTGGTGGTGGATTGAAAGAGGTTGAAAATACTACCATAAATAAACATTATAAAATAAATATTTATTTTGCTGTACTGGATAATATTATAAATGACATGGGTGAAAGGTTTGAAGAAAATAATTTATATGTTTTAAATTGTATGCAAGACATACTTTTAAATGATATGCCAAATAATAATTCTTTTAAATAAATAAATAAAATGTATGGTTTTGATAAGGATAATCTCAAAGCAGAAACAACAATTTTAAATAGAATGTATAAAACTGTACATGATCAAAATAATGTGCAATCAAAAATCAATTTCATTGCATCAGAAAATTATAAAGCTAACTCCGCATCATGCGAAAGAAGTTTCTCATGTTTACGTAGGTTAAAAATATATTTAAGAACCACAATGGGACAGTTAAGATTAAACAGTCTTGGAATTTTGCAAATCGAACCAGAAAGATCATCTCTAATAGATAAAGATGAAGTAATAGATAAATTTAGTGCTGCCGCAGAATGTAGAGGTCGCCGATTACTACTGCAGTAAATGAAAAAACCAACTAATATTTTAAATCTGTACCTATAATATATATATAGGAATTATATATTAGGTATATATTAATTTTTTTAATCGGTTTTGCCCTTTATTCTTCTCTATATATATATATACTATATAGGTATTAGGTATTATAGTATAAAACAAATCTAAATGGCAGCTATTATTTAAAATATAAATTTTATAAAATAAAAGAATTGTTTTTTTTATGTATTCATATATTGTTTAAGAAAATTATACATATTTTATTGACAGTAAGTAATCATATACCCTATTTATAGGTGTATATGTCGCATCCACTTAGTGTAATCGTATTTTTTTTTTAATGGATATCCATTTCATGAACAACGATCATATCGTGTAAGTCAAATTTTAGTTCATGAAATGGACATATATTTTATCCATTTCATGAAATGGAAACTCTTATTTTACACTTTGTGTAATATTTTTAATTAATTACATCAATAGGTAACTTTTTGTGAAATCGAAATAATAACATTGATACGAGTACATTTTATTACATTTATTCATGATTATTATAATTATGTAATATTGTATTATAATTATATTTTATATAATAATAATAAATTATATAAATATAAATAGTTATATAATCATTATCATTGTGAAATCGAAATAATAATATTGATACGAGTACACGAATCTAGTATCTTTAAATTGTAAGCATTAAGATACTAAATAGGTATTGTAGAACTTACTGTACTATACTAATAAGTAATATGTTATCGACACCTGTTATCGATAAATAATCGGATCAATTGTATGAGTGTAATAGCACTCTGGAAAGTTTTTATTTTTATTTTTATATGATGCCAGTACCTACGTTCTCTGACTTGATGCGAGCCGTATATTAACGTTCATTACAAGGAATACAATTTATAAAATGGAATTTGATTCATTTGCTGAATATTATGAAAAATTAAATGCCTACTATGTAGGCAAACCCGGGAAAAAACCACCCACCAAAAATGAGGTTCAATTAATAATTGAAGAAATATTAGCGGCCAAAATAAAAATGTAAGTAATTGTTAAAATATACAAAATATTTAAACTTCAAATAAAATTATAACAATCAGCCATCAGGGCTTGTATTTCAAAAAACTATTTTGTTTTATGTTATTTGGAATTAAGAGGTCTCTGTCTTACTAACGTACATTATAACAAATTTTCATTCAGTAGAATACATTTTGTGATGTTAGCTTTAATATTAGAGTAAATTTACCTATGATCAAATTTAAAGGTAAGAATATTATCTAGACAATGACATATGCTTTTAATGATATTATTATTTTAAAGTGAGTTATGAACATTTTAAAGTTGTAATATTTCACATAGCTGTAACTCACTTTAAAATAATAATATCATTAAAAGCATAATATGTCATTGTCTAGATATTATTAGTATGGCTTAGTAAAAGGGTGGTACAATTCAGCAAGTTTAAAACCCGCGACATCTAATTTTTTAAAAATTACCGAAGTTAATAATGATAAAGAACTTACATTACGTGAAACCGTTTCTCATATTTCTGGGGGACAAGGTTTTTTAAGTTGCATTTGTAAACGCCAATGTGAATCAAAACGTTGTGCTTGTTTTAAAGCTTCGGTAAAATGCAACAGTCGTTGCCATAGCTCTAGTATTTGTAAAAATAAGTAATAATTTATTATTTATATAAATAATAAATTATTAATAAAAATAAAAATTATAATATAATAAATAAAAATGATAATAAAATTATCAATATTATTATTTCGATTTCACAATGATAATGATTATATAACTATTTATATTTATATAATTTATTATTATTATATAAAATATAATTATAATACAATATTACATAATTATAATAATCATGAATAAATGTAATAAAATGTACTCGTATCAATGTTATTATTTCGATTTCACAAAAAGTTACCTATTGATGTAATTAATTAAAAATATTACACAAAGTGTAAAATAAGAGTTTCCATTTCATGAAATGGATAAAATATATGTCCATTTCATGAACTAAAATTTGACTTACACGATATGATCGTTGTTCATGAAATGGATATCCATTTCATGAAAAATACGATTACATTAAGTGGATGCGACATATATACATAATATACCAATTAACAATAGACACAATATGTGTTAAAATAGTTTTGTTGAATTTATGTACAGATTGTAATGTTAAATTTAGAATAAAATAAAAACATTTTAGGGGGGTGTGGGGGGCCTGTCCAACCTAGAAACTGATTGCAACCCTAACAATTTAGCCCAATTTACGCCACTGGCTAGGTGGCTAGGAATGGGTAAATCAATGTGATTCTAATTTGGTTGTAGGTCTAAATGTAAAGATTAAATTGATATCAATTTACAACAAACTTTATTTGATGGGTATTGGTCCTTGAACTCATATGATAGACGAGTGTCTTACATGGCAAATCTCATAGTTCCTACCAATAAAATTGCTGATTGAAAAAGAACTTACAACATTGAAAAGCAAAAAAATCGACAGGTTACTTACAAATATTTCATTCCTAAAAATAATGAATTGATTGTTGTCTGCAAATTATGTTTTTTAAGTATATTTGGAGAAAAACCAAGATTTATACAAAAAAATCTGCACACAAAAAGTTCAGTCACCTGTCCAAAAACAGACACCCGATAAAAGAGGTAAAAGAGTACCCAGAAATAAATTGAGTAAAAGGAGTATTGACTTAGTTCAAGATCATATAAAAATGCTCCCATCTTATGAAAGTCACTATTGTCGTAAAGAGACTACAAAAAAATATTTACCAGCTTATTTCACTTTGAAATTAGTTTATGATGATTAGGTATGTAGAAAATGTTGATAATCTTGTTAGTATGTCTGTTTATAGGCAATACTTTAAACAAGCGGGTTTAAAAATAAAACAACCCAAAAAAGACACTTGTACACTCTGTGATCGTTTTAAAATACAGATTTCCAATAATATTTCCTCAAGTGAAAAAAAGGCTGCTTTAATTATAAAAAAGAATAAGCATCATGATGAAGCAGAAGAAACGTATGAGGGGCCAAAAGAAAAGATTCAAAAACAAATGATATCAATAAATGTGTAATAGCTTTTGACCTACAACAATGTCTGCCCACTCCAAGTTTGGAATCATCTGTTGCTTTACAAGCGACTACTGTGGACCTTCAATCTTACAGTTCATAATATACAAACTTCTAATGCAACATGTTATATATGGAATGAGACCATCGCAAAACGTGGTGCTAATGATGTTGGGTCATGTGTGTTTCATTATTTAGCAAACTTGCCACTAAATATAACCCATGTTGTCATGTACACTGATAATTGTGGTGGTCAAAATAAAAATTCTATTTTCATGGCCATGTGTTTGGCTTTTTTAGAAAAACAAGATACAATTCAAATTATTGATCATAAATTTATGATCTCCGGACATACTCGAATGGAGTGTGACTCAGACCATGGCCGAATTGAAAAAGCAAAAAAATGGTATGCTATTCAAATTAATCATCCTTATGATTGTGCCCAATTAATCCGTTAAACTGGCAAAGAAAAATTTAACGTCATTGAAATTTAACAAAGTAATTTTCAAGATTTTGATAGCTTATTAAAAACTAAATATAAATTTAAAAAAAAAAATGAGGCAGGACAAGTATTTTCTTTTCGAAATGTACAATGGCTACGATATAATAAATCTGACAAAAATATTGTGTCTTACAAATTATCTTTGAATGATGATGAAATACCTATTTCATAAAATGGACTTAACCAAAAGGAATATAATGAAGAATTTGCCAATAACTGAAGAAAAGAAAAAAGATTTAATGTCATTACTATAATTCATTCCAGAGTTATATCACACATTTTATAAAAACTTAAAAACAAAAAATGATGTAAGTGATCCATTTGTGTCTGATGAAGGAGAGTAAGTTTTCATCATATTTAAAATTTAGTCTTATTTTATTCTCTTCGTATATTATTCAATATTAATTGCAACTTTTAATAAATCTTGTTGTTTTTTTTATCATTTTAATAAATGCATGTTCTTAAAGCAAAGAACTCTGTAATTTAAAAATATTAGTTTTATTTTTTGTTTTTTATTTTTATTCAATTTTAATTTTAATTTTTAATAAATCTTTATCATACTTAATAATGTTAAAATATGAATGTTCCTATAGTTTGGAACTCTATAATTTAAATATTTGATCAATTATACATACGTATATTTTTTTAACTTCTTTGTATTTTTGATGTTACCTATCTGCATTTAATTTTAATTATAACTTTTAATAAATCATTAATGTACTGAATAATCTTAATGATATTAAACATCACATAAAGTTCCTAAAGTAAGGATCTCAATAATATAAAAATGTTTTGTTTTTTTAATACATATTTGTATGATGTGGTTATAATTACCTAATATAAAATACAAAAAGCTTATATTTTTTATATTATTATGTCAATAATAAAATTATATTATACCTATTGCTATAAGATTAAAAATTTGTAAAATAAAAGGAAATTACGATAATTCAGAATATTGTGTATTTATTATTTTTATTGTTTACCTACGTGTATAAAACAATACAAATTAAAAGAAGGGGGCAAGTGGATGTCGCTCTGCTG